ATATAAGGAGACTTTTTCTCCGAATTTTTCTGCAATTTTACAGTTTTGAGAATATAATCGAGGAAACCGATGGTATACAGAATTTGTTTTATATATGTAGTTTATAAAGATTTTGGATATTTTATACATTTTTGTGTATCGTATGCATTGTGAAAATCTTCAAAATTCCCCTCAAATTTTCTAGTACGAACATTCATAAGTATTTAGAAGTTTCCCACAGATAGGAGATTCAAGATTTCAAAAATCTACCTTCATGAGAACATTTTAGGAAAATATCCAAAGTAGAGTACTTGTTAATTTAATAGACAGATTTGAAGAATTTCATAGAAGAAGAAATTAACTCATGGTAATCATAATCGTTAATCAGTTAATCATTTCTTACAAGAGACATGATCACATTTGGTAATCGTTAATCTATAATTTGTAATCATTTAACGAATGATTAATTTATCTTTTATTGGTCAATATCTTTATAGCTATAATACTAAATTTCTACTATTCATAATTGAAAACGTAATCATTTCGTAATTAATGATGATTAAGTCAGTCATGCACACTGATTACATTTTTTTGATTACTTCAATTATTCAGTAATCATGATAATTGGATTACTCGTAATTATTAATCATTAATCAGATTACTTTTTGACCAATTCTCGTTTAAGTTGGTCGCATATGTTTCGATAAGTGTACAAAGTGCAGAGAACGGGACAGCGATAGCGTTCATTCTCGGGAAGAATACAGAATGCTGCGTATGTTTCGTGACAACCTCGTTCCATCGCTTGAACTTTCTAATCTTTTATAGGAAAAATCAGGACATTAAGAGACTTATACTTGAATGGAGTTTTTAGTAAACACCACCGCGTTACTCGCGGATAGAAATAGAAGGGATTATGTAATTGTGCGAAGAGGCTTTTTAATGGATTAGTTTTGGAGCTGCCGAGTACCAGTGAAAGCAAAAGAAATTAATTGGAGCTTTAATAGAGAACCTTATGTGATAAATTTTTTTCAATTTGTTGCTAGAGTTTTAGTTTCTCGTTAGTGGCAAGAATTTTCTAATATACATTGCTACTCGAAAGTATTAATTAAGAAACGTTCTGAGATAGAAGAAAACACGATTCGATACATAACCATCCAATAAACTACGATCTCAATGTTTTTAACTTTAGATTATAAAAATTCGTGATTCTTACAACTGACAATGTTTTTATTTGTCGCAAATAATTGTTCATGCATCATGAATTATCAAATTATTAAACTGTGAATCAAAGAGATAAATATTGGCAAATGATTAAATAATTAAACTCTGAGTCGATAAAGTATTTAGATAATTTGTTAATTTACAATAGTATAGAAAATCTCGAGGAACTTATAGACTTTATAAACATCTTCCGAATTTAGTATTACAGATTTTACCCTTCGAACGAACCTAGCAAAACCTTGAAAAGGTATTCTTTAAGAAACTACCATGGAGGAGAGTTTCCGTGAATTTTACATAGATCTCGATCTCTTTTGTGCTACATCCTTCACGCACGATCTCGGCCATGATGGAACCACGAAAGAGACTCACCTGGCACGCCGAGGCACAAAAGAATCAAAAAGGTTCGCCCCCCTTTCGCTCGCAGTTACCGAGCACGGACTGTAGTCTCTCCTTCGTGGCCGAGCTATTTCTCTCTCTCCATTCCTTCCACTCCCATAGTAGAGGCCGCATACCTCCTTAGGATGCAGTATAGACCTGTCCATTGGCTGGCAGACATCGGTTCTTTTTCGAAACGACAACGACTCATGAAACCGAGAGGATAGAGGGTACGAGTCGTGTTAAACACACTGGTGTGTCGATACGTCATGAGGTATACTGTTGTACATGCGTGATCGTTGTTCTCTGAACGGTATAATTTTTCTGGAAACCAAAGTGAACTGCCAAACGCGGAAATACACGTGGAGTGATGATGAGTTGATACGGCTGCAAGGAAGAAGGATCTTGGACTGATTTTATGAGGTAAGAGTCTTGGCTATTTCTTCTTTGCTTTCTTTGCAAGTGTACGTGATTGATCGAGTTCGGAGTAAGTTCACCTTCGGTCAGTTATCAATCCGTTATTCTCCAGTGGATATGTTGAAGTAATTTGTTACGTGTTACAGATTAAAGATTAAAGACAATCTCTTAACGCGCGAATTTTTGTTCGTTTGTGAATGGAATTGAAATTTCTTCAAAATAAGGAAATTAACTGGTTATATTCTCGTTGGAGTTAAAAATCGTTCGATGACGATCGTTTAATTTTTCTTCGTTTACAACATAAGAGTATAGTTAATAATAAAGTAGTGTCTCTTTTATAGAATATAAAATTATTCACGAGATGTCGTATGTGTTAAATAATTTTAATAATTTCATTACGAATCAAGCAGATGAACGTCTGAAAGAATGAAAGACGTACAACGTATCTTCCATTGAAATCCATTGACATCCATGCACGTCCCGGTTTCCTGTTTCCAATTTAGTCACGTGCTACTATTGAAGCAGTATCTCGAAACGCTAGTTATGTATTTCACACACACCAGAATTCGGTTTAAATCGGATATGAATCAGACCGACGAAACGAAGTTATAAACATATTAGATTCTGGTAAAGTTGAGGCCAATTTTCATTGATACTGGTGACTCGATTTCTATCGGTATTTCCTTGACTTTTATAACCGAGAGATAGTTGGTTAGTTATTTGCTAGAAATTTTGTTTCAACAATCGAAATCGAACATACAAATAGTCTGCAAAATGGCTGGGAAAGTGAAAAGTTAAAACTGGTCAATCCTGTTGGAAGGAATGCAGGTAGGTTTGTTAGAGGATATTGAAATTGTTACGCGTTCCTTTCACGCGACTCAAAAATAATAGGATAATGACAAACCATACCGAACCCTCGTCACTGTTTTCGCCAGTTCGAGGGAAACCAGTCTGACCAGCGACTAGTCGAAGTCATGGTTTCAAGGAACCGGTGTCAAGTTCGTGGAGGCAGGAAAAGCTCGGACATATATGCACGCTGAGAGATTGATCGTTCGATTTTCTCGCACATGCCGATTTCGCGTCCCTCAAGGTTGTTTGATAGATTTTCTTGCGATTATTCTTGAACGATCGATGAGGAGAGAGAACATGCTTCGGATCTTTCTCTTGCAAGCATTGTGGAATTCTTATCATATTATGGTTTGTTGATACGTAGAATTCAAATATTTATTCATCTTCCTCTAAATATGTTTTCAGTAGTAATAAAGTGATTTGTGTTAGTGCTAAATTCAGTCTTAGATTCTTTCAAGATTTAGATACTTGAATTCTTGGATTCTCGATTTTCTTGGATTCTTTAGGTTCTCAGATTCTTGATACAACTTTCTATACTAACAGTAAGAATATTATAAAAACATTATATTATATTTAAAAAAAAAAAATTTCCTTTTATTACAATTTCTCATGTAGAACCAATTTTCCAATTACACACTCTTAACAAATCACCGAGCGTCACAAAGTCAGTAACATAAATAATCTTCACTTGTTTCACATCACCATAATAACGATCGTTCATCTATAATGTAATTTGCCACTTGATTAAACACTTGATAGGTTCAATATTAAGGATATTAAAAATGTATTAGCGACGTAACTACACGATGCATCTTGCCGTCCACATCAGAAACACGAGCGGGGTAAGAAAAATTGTAGAATACGTGATGGCAGAACGAAGCGCGTGGCAGGATACTACTTTTCTTAGCCATTCATCCTGTGCATCACCTGGTCACACAGTGTCAGGATTCCAGACGAGTAACGTAATGGCGTGGATCGTAGAGGGGGGCCTTCTATAACGGTTTTTTTTTTCTCTTCCTCTCTTCTCGTCTGCTTCGTCTTGCTCTCGCTTTTCTGTCGCCCGGCTTCTTCGTTCCTCGTCGCCTTTCTCGGACGTTTTAACGAGTCTAGGACGTCTCGGTGGTTCGTACGACTAGCACGGAACAGTTAACCGCGCGTACTCGTTTGCTTTTCGCGCGATCGAAGAGAAAATCGGTATCCAGCACTCGCGGAAATACAAAAACGGAGAGAAAAGGAGAGAAGGGGGAGATCGTACGCCAATGTTGGTCGGCCTGACGGTGCGATGGCGGCCCGCGAAATTTCATAAGAGACGCGTTTCGAAATCGTTGTCGTTTGCCGATTACGACGACGAGTTCCGTGGCTGGCACGCGGCTTCCCACCGTTATCTCGGTCGACCGAGATCGTATCTAGGTAACTTTTTGCGAGAGAAATTCTCCCGAAAATTGGTTTCAATGATGAGAACAGGGTATAGAAAATTGTTTGCCACGTGTGAACTACACTGTGGACTTTGGTAATTCTGGGATTATTATGAGATGGGTATGTATTTGTTCAGGATCTTCAGTTTTGAGGATTTAGGATAGGTATCTTTCAGGTAGTATTGCGATGTTATATAATCTGCTGTTGTGTGAACGTGAACCATGAAAATAAGTAAAAGTAGAATTGAGGAGTATTCATATTCATTTCTATTCGTTACTGAATAATTTTGGATTTCCTTGTTACACAATTGAATTAAAAGAAAGGAACTTTCCAAGTTACGTGTTGCAAATTGCCCATGCTAATAAATTGTATAACAGTATATTCACAATTCACGAGTGAAACTTATTTGTCCAGTTGATCGTTCTATTTGACATAAAATTGTAAATGTAAATTCTACTTGTAAAATAAAAGTCCGTAATCGTTACATGTCAAAACACTAATATAAATCGTTGTGCAAGAGATTCTAAACGAGACGAAAATGAGCTGTAACAATTCTTCAAATGATCACAAACTCACGACAAATGATTCGGTATTTTTAATCTTATCAAATGTGAAACGAGTGCTAAATTATCTTTTTTACGGTCGACCCAAATGGAGAATAATTTATCGAACGAGCGGTTAATGCATTCGAGTTTCTCCGCGATGTTTCGAGTGCATTCGAACATGCATCGCGTTGAAAAGATGAATAATACTTACATCAGCGAATTCGTGACACATCGCTACGTGCAACAAGTAATTTCTTCCTGTTTCTTTGGTCTTTCCACGAACGCGAGAAGAAAAGCTTTCTATCAGATGTCAGAGAAATTAATTCCTGCATGGAGCGTCGCAACGCATAATTAATGACGGAATATATTTAGCCAACGACGAAACCGATTTCCTTGTTGATCAACAACAGCCCATGAAATTGAACTCAATTTTATATAGTGTTATTATCCAACGTGTTTTATGGATTACACAAAGCGACGATCGATGTTTCGAAATCGATACGCTCGAAATCTTGATGAAGAATCGTAAAATATTAATTAAGTAATTGTTAATTTCGTTGAATCAAATTTAATAAAACATTGCAAATGAAGTTCATGCTCGTTTAATTGACATTTTCATTACAATAAATTATTCAAATTATAATTGTAATTTTGAAATGTTGAAAAATTTTATAATAGAATTTAATGAAATTATGATTTCCTCGAACAATGAATTCTTCAAATATCTCTGTATTTTTTAAATGTTCAATAATGTCATCTAGATTGATACTACAGATTCTTTTTAAAAATTGAATCTGATTGAGTGAAGCTGATTTAACTCAGTAAAAATTAACAAATTATTGCGATTAACGAAACAATTTCTCATAGTTTATTATTTAATTTCAGAGTAGCATTTTGAATTCTTGATACTTCTTGATCTTGATTGATGGTAGCTTTAGAGATAGCATAGTTAAATCGTATTAATAAAATGAACGAATATAAACGAGCAAATAAATAATTGAATATAACATCACGATAAGAATAATTTACGTGAGCATAAATGTTGTTTGCAAAAGAGCAAGACAACACTTTTCTCTCCCCTAGCTAACGAGCAGATCAATTCCGTCGCTTCGAATTGATTGAAGGTAACGACCACTTTTATTTCGAAATTGAGGCACACAGAATGCTTTCATCTTGTTATTTAAACCATGTTTTGAATCACGATGACCCATATAACGAAACACGGGCAGTTAAACTCTGAACAGCAAATTGCATGCATCGCGGCAGTTACCATCAAGTATAATTCGTAAGAAACACAAGACAACGCGTCGTGAACTCGAACTTCGTTTAACATCATGGATAATGGGCTCGTCCATTATTAAATAGAACACGATGTTCTATTCTCATTCGATTAATTTTATTTTCTTCATTCTTTTCCGTAATAATTTCAAACAATTTCTTTACATTATGTTATTTTATATCTGAGAATCGCGTTTAATAGCTCTGTTGTGCCCGATGATCGTTCCACTCGCGACGTAATATTTCGTCCAGCATTTCTGAGGGATTTCATCGAGTGTTTTATGGTTCGTTCATGGTGAATCGCGGAAGTACGATCCGTGAATATCTTCCTGCCAGCCTTATTGAATTCATCGCTTAACCTAGCGTTTTATGTTTCGTCGCTGATAATTGCAATTAAAGTGTTCCGTGCCTTCTACACAGTCTCCGGATAATGGAAGTACACTGTTAGCCATAGGTTTATAATTTTCTGCGTTGTAAACCTTAGTATTCGTAGTACAGCACAGTGTTGGAATATCGCGGATCTGATTATTATTGCGGATTCTAGTCAAGGAGTCTACGTAGAAACACGGAGCTGAATGTTCCGTTCGACATTCCTTTTCTACGCTGCTCAACTATGAACGAAGGGAAATATTCACTGTGTAAATTAATTCGGTAAATTAAAATGGTAATTCTATTTATCACTCGTCTAGTATTTCAATCATTAAAATGTAAGTGTGAAATTATAGGTGTTGTTTTTTTTTTTAACTTTCGCAAGACGGGAGAATGTTCGAATTTAGAAGGTCAGAAATGGGGAAAATTTAAGGGAAGTTTCGGCTATACAACTGTTTATTGAAAATATTACTAACATTATCAGTGGTGTAATATGTATAACAATATATTAATTAGAATACTAGACTGAGAATTTTTAAACATAGGAAATTTTAAACTGATTGTATCTCTTTTAATTATTCTTCAGAAAAATGTTTTGTTGAATTTCCTGAAAGTATAACTAGTATAATAAATATTATAACGTATAAAAAAACGTATGTCACTGTTGTGTTGTAAATGGTTTCTCCAATAGATGCTGCCTTTCTCCATTGTTAGACTACTGTGATGCACGAATCCTTGAACAAGTATGACTTCATGAGAATTCTATAAATAATAACCATAAAGTTCATACAGACATTCTCGAATTTAACCACCGCTTAAGATCATAGAAACAGTTGTGTTCTCGTCTTTCAGGATATTTGAAGATACTAAAAATGGATACTATGATCAATTATTTCGACGTAGGTAAATAGGTAGCATATTTCCTGTCTTCATACGAAATATTCGTAGTTTCACATGATTAATAATTAAGAAGACAATACTTGATAACAGTCTTCTGAACACGGAAGTCAAGCAGTGGCACGAAGTCACCGGAAAATCGCTTGTCTACTGTCCTGTAGTTGTTGCCTGTTCCTCTTTGCAGAATGATTGCTTCCCACGTCTTACTTTCAGGTCCCAAACAGTTCCCATTGAATCTGCCAAAATGAATAGCTTCAAAATTCTCGAAATTAAATAACAGTAGTTATTATTACCTAGTAAAATGTAAAACTTTTCTTAACAAAAATTTACCAGAATGAATAATTTCAGAATTCTCCAGATTAAATACTATTCTTGTGATAAGATAAGTAATACGATCAAGTAAAATGTGAAATCTTTCCTATATTTCCGAACGTAATAAACAGTCTATCATTCCTGATAAGGATATGTAATAAAAGCATATGCTTTCATTAGAGTGTCTATCCTAATTCTAATAACAGAAATCGTTCTTTCTATGTGAAATTCTGCAATTTATCTAAATAATATTTTCAATTAATCTAGCGATTTATCATTTCATTTCATATGCGTTGCTCTTCGAATTCAATAATAACATACTGGCGACAATTTATTTTAAACACAAGCAGAACAATATTAATAGCCGAGAGTGGTTTTCATTCCACTGAAACTGTTTGTCTCGAGTGAGAGTTATGAAAGAGAACAACATGGAACGCAGTAGTCTGCATTTATTTCAACCGATGCTGTTGTGCAAGACTTTTGTTCAGAATCTGTCTGGAGGCTTTACTAGAAAGTTACCGTGCAGATCGTAACAGAACTGTGTAACGTTAGTACAGGCTATTTCATTGGCCCATGAAATTTCGCGTCCTGATCTTGAAATCACGCTGAAAAATTATTTCACGCCTACGATTGCAAAAAGAAGGCGTTTAGAATGTTGCTTTACCGAAAGGGAACTTGATCGATCATTGCACATTCTGATTAACGAAGATCGCGACGGAAATTCTATGATTCGAAATTTTGGCATTTAGCGTTTAAAATTTAATTTACAGAGTAGTAAATTTTGTACGAATTTTTTTATGTACGTAGATTTCTGTAATCTTCTCCATACAGTATTTTTTTTAAAGAATTTTTAAAAATTGCATTTATTGCAGTAATTCTTAATCCTGCACATTTTTACTAATTTCAACGATTTATTTCTGAAGTATTTTCTTACTCCTTTAGAGGACCGACATTTAAAAAAAAAAAATTTTCTTTTCTCAAAAATTTATATAGTAAAATATTAGGTACGTGGTATATAGGCTTTGGAAATTTGTACATAGCTTTAAGGGGAATTTAATCGGTTTCCTTTTCTTATAATATTCTACAATATATTCTATTCGTATAATTTCTCGTATAATAACTCCGATAATTTCTTCAATAATTACTATGTAAAGTAACTACTGTACATTTACATTTTTTCACTATATAAAGGCAATCTAATCGCACAAAATTCGCTTATCATACAAATTCTCATTAATGGAAAAAGAAGAAGAAGAGTGATACTGAAGATGAATGTTCGTCGACTAACAAAACGATTCAATTTTACGTATGACGGTACGAGAGTTCCGCGAACTCCTGAAATGGAATCTGATTTCTAACGGCTTTTCACTGACCGTGCTCACCCGGTGGAAGTCATTCAGTCACCGTACTCGGTGGTTGCACCGCCGATGGTTCGCCTCAAAGCATTTTTCTCCGGACGGCGTAGAAAGAACGCGGCTCGTTTGCCGCAAACGTTCTATATGGGTGGAAACCGGTGGATTCGATAGATCGCTGCATCCTCCGCGCTGTTTAACTATTTCCTCTTTCCTGCCCACTCTGCTCTTTGCATTTTTCCAACCAGAGACCCGCGTGCATTGATCCCAGCCGCATGCAAGGAACAAACGCACAGACGTTTATTTTAAATAGCACTCGAGAGCTCGCCTATCGTTTCAGCTTCCTCGATGGTTTTCCTTTTTAGTTGAGAACATTGTTCGAGCCATTGACCGAGTGATACTTGTTCGCTGCGTGATTAATCATCGTTATGATTATCAATGATTTTTTTCAGTGTAGGCTCATGAAAATATTCCGGCATTTTATATTGCAGAAATTTCAATGGAACTGGCCACTTTGTTACGCATTATAATTAGACAGTCGATTCAGTTTCGTATAATTCTATTATAAATAACAGAAGTTCAAATTAATTTTTCTTCTTTATATTTATAGAAGAAATTAAAAATTGCAGTATTCTGCAAATATTTCTTCCATATTATTATTCTTATCTAAATACTATTTTTAGCCCTTTCTCTTTTTGCTTCATTTTTTTTCTTACCAGTCAATTTCATAAAAGAGAATATTGTTATTAATGTGTTTAAATATTGCTTATTTAAATTATTTAGAGGTGCACAATTACTATCTAAAATACGGTTGTTTCGATGACCGGAAGTGAATGGAATCGTGACGAATCGCGATATAGGAAGCGTTTATCTATCACGCAAGAGAGAGCGCATTTTTATACATAAAACTTTTTGCTCCAATTTTTGTTCCTAATGAAAGTCCCAAGCATAAATTGTAGAATCGTTCCTGTTACATTTTCTAACAGTTCCATCTTTGAAACCACTTTCTAATTGTCTTCTAAGTAACTATTATTCAACGTCAACCACTGATGCTAATAACAGTCTTTGTGTACATATATTATTCAGCAGCGTTACGAGTGCTAATTATCCCTCTTAAATTACATAGCGAAGAATGTAAGACAATGCATTTGCGATATCAAATATCTCATCAAAATTTAACAATCTTTAATCATAAATGCAAATACAAGTTTCTGTTGTATTCTTGTAAGCTTGATGTAAACGAAGAATTGCTGTTAACATTTTATATGATAATATTAAAAATAAAAAATTTATTTCTTCAACGATGCAATGTATACGCAAGTGTGTATGATGTCTCTATTAAAAAAATATATTAGAACTGTATATTTCTAACAACACGATCCAGCTATTAAAAAAACACAATGTCTGCAAGAATTATTTGTGCATGCTCTTATTTTTCAACGAAATTTTCTCAGATTCTTTTGTATAGAAACAATACCAAATTTAAAATTCTTAGATCTGAATCGGTGTCTAAATCTACTTTTTGTATTTATTGCAGATTTAAAATGCGTTGCATAGTAGAAATATAAAATTCTCGAGTCACACATTATTATTGACATAAAATTCTAGGAACGTTACATCTGAATCAGTCGTTGAATCTGATATTCAGTTCGATTCAATACTCAATGAAAAATAAAATAATAAACATAATTCGTCTTGTTAACTGGCAGGTGACGATGTGGACGATTTTACTCTTCATCCTCTCCACGTGGTCTTCGTCATGGGGTCAGGTGATCAACAGAGCACCACATTTCGTGCAAGGTGGCGACATGGCCAGACTGGCTGTGTCGGAAGGGACACCTCCAGGTGCACCTGTGTACACTCTCAAGGGAGAAGATCCAGAAGGATCCAAGTTACATTACTCGATCAGTGGTGAATATTTCACTGTGAACCGGGACAGCGGTGTCGTTGTTCTCAGAAAGGCGTTAGACAGGGAGATCCAGGACTTGATCGAAGTGATCATCAGCATAACGGGTAACTATGCTGCTTTTACTGGTGTCCCGTTACAATGTTACGGTGGAATATCAATCGATAAACGACGATATGTAGGGCATTAGACGACTGCATACATTGATAGAATGATAATCATTTGGTTATGCAATTGAACTTCGACAAAGTTTCTTTCCTTACATTTCTATATCTGATTTGAAATCTTCAACTTTCAATTTCCGCTCGTTGTTAGATGCGTTTAGCATAACATCTAT